GTGTGTGTGTGTGTGTGTGTGTGTGTGTGAGAGAGAGAGAGAGAGAGAGAGAGAGAGAGAGAGAGAGGCTACTTCCATCGATAGGATGAGCAGAATTGGAATGAATCTTCCGCTTAAATATGGAAATATACGTTGCTTTCCAGCCATGCGCGGAGAGAGATAGAGAGAGGTACTTCCATTGATAGGATGAGCAAAATTGGAATGAATCTTCTGCTAGAACATGAAAATAAACACTGCCATTTTTTATTATTACTATTTTTGTGTGTGTGTGAGAAAGAGAGAGACAGAGAGAGGGAAAGAGAACAGGTAAGTCTCTGACCTTGCGGATGGCCTCACGCTACTTCCATCGACAGGATGAGCAAAATCGAATGAATCTTTCGCCAGAACATGGGAATATGCACTGCCACACTAAGTCTTGTGGATTCAGTCCACAAACCCGCGGCCAAAAAAGACCGCGTTCATAGAACCGTGCCAACAGCAGCCTTCTGCCCGAGTGTTCCACACAATTGTCCATTCACAGAGGCCCGAACAAACCGCCAGAGCCACGGCTCGCTTACACTGCCGTCCGGGTCTTTTCGCCCCACACTTTCGTGTGGGACCGTCCGGTTTCGCCTCTGCCTGTCGTGCGCCCTTCCTGCGGAGTTCCCCAACCGGGTCTCGCGTGGGGCGTCACGTGAGACTCACTGTTTCCTTTGGTAGTTTGTAGAAAACGATAACGACATCATCATCAACATTGACAACGTCAACGGCGACGACAACGGTGACGACAACAGCAATAACAGCGGCAACAACAGCAGTGACAACAACAACAACAACAACAACAACAACAACGGTAACAGCTGTAATAGCAACAACAACAACGGCAAAAACAAAAACAACAACAACAATACTGGCACCGACAGGGGGGAAGTTAATGGCAGTGGCAATATCAACACCCGCACAGTGGGGGAGAATTAGCAGTCTGATGGGGATGGCGAGGAGGGGCTTGGGGTTGAATGTGTGATTTACCATTTCCCACCTTCTCTGTCCGGTGCTTTCACAGGTTGATCTGCTCCTCTTCGCCTGGCACGGGGAGGGAGTAGGATAGATGATTTGCCCTTTATCGATTGGAGTTGACCGGTCCTCAACTTCCAATCGTGAAGGGGTGCCGATTGCCCCCCAAAGGGAGGTAGGCTGTTTAGGGTTTCAAGTCTTGGTTTGATTTGCTGGGTGGGGCGATTGATGATATTGCTTTCCGTTAGGAATCTTCGAATTACGCTGCATGGGCAGGAGGTCAATCCTTCCCTTGCGCAGGGAGGTAATCAATGCCTCTGCTCTTTCTGGTGATACGGTAGATATGGTGGAAAGGGTTTTTCCCTTCGCGCACATATATTGCTATACAAACAAATGCAGATTGTATTGGATGTACGATGCACACTATGACATCTCCACAATTTACTGTATAGGGACGCTGGACCTGATTTCCAGCTCATACACATAACATCATTGTCAAGGGACGCTGGACCCGATGTCCAGCAGGTGCAGCTCCCCACCAATATTGGAGCCTTCAACGCTGGGGCCTACTTAACAGGGCTTTTCCCACATACTAAAAAAAAAACAAGAAAAAAAAAAAAAAAAAAACCTTGAATTGCATGGCCGTGTTTGATGTTTTCACATCTGGTGTCCGCCTGTCCATTGCACCTCTTTAAATCTTTTAGGCCCACCAGTCCTTTTCCCCAAAGCTCTACCGGGCCTCTGTCGAAGGGCGCAGGCCCGGGTGCAGTTTACTGCAATGAGCAGGGACAGGCAGGGCGCAGGCCCGGTTGGAACCTGAGTTCCTAGTCACCTTTGGCACTCCCCACCCTCCTCCCCTTTGTGACCTCCTGTGGTCCAAACCACGAACCGAGATACCCTGGTTCGTCCTATTCTACCCTACTGTACTATCAATAACATTCCATCAGGCCGCAAAACCAAACAACCCGAAAGCGAAAAAGAAAAGGAAAGAGCATGCCCTTTTTTTTTTTTTTTTTCCCTGAGATAGAGGCGATCTGATTGCCTCTGCACCAAGTTTGTTCAAACCACATTGAATTTCGACCTTCCGGGGATCTTCCCTTGTGTGCCTTCCTTCTCCAATCTCCGCAGATTTCCTCCCTGAGAAGCTCTTCAAGGAGGATTTATGTGTGCCATTCAGACAACCCTTTGCCATTGAGACGCCACTCATTTCGGTCTTTCCTTATGATCCACATCATTGAGGTTCTTCCCACTTGTGCCACATAGGCCCATTCTTTTGAGATTGTGGTGCCATCTGCTACATGTCCCAGCAGTACCCACCTTTCTCCCGTGTACTGTCTTTGACCTGAGAAGTAGATCCGATGGGCTTCTAACTATTTCCACCACTTCCTAGATCTGGGACATGTCCACCAAAGATGGTACATAGTCTCATACACCCAATTGCCGCGATCACAGGATTCCTTGACTTGCATTCCTCGTTTGCTGAGCCACCTTGCCACCGGAACTGCTAAGTGTGATTGTAACCACGCCAAAGAAGTGACCTTTTGTGAGGATATAAGAGCCAATCGTTCCCAACGACGTCACATTTAACCGCCTGTACCAAATTTGGTCGCATTTGGAACATTGGAACTTCCTCTGACAAGACCGTGTCCAAAAACGCTGAAAATTCTGAAAATTTGCTGAATCCAAAATGTCATTCAAGTGCACTTTTGCCTTACTCTTTGACCCTGTTTTTATTTTTATTTTTCGTTTTTTTTTAATTGGTTTGTTAATATGGTGTGCACTCTATGGAATGATGCATTTTTTTGTTAAAAAGGGTTTCTGGTTTCCTTATAAATAGCATTGAAAAAACGCTGAAATTTTGGGTCTTCGTTAACCGCCTCTCTACGCTACACCTACAGCCTGAATTCTGAAATTATGATCCGCGGCTGCCGCAGTGTCAATTTGCATTTCTGCAACAGGGCACCCTCCAGCTACAATCTGTCAGGGCACCATCCAGCCACAATCTGTCAGGAATCTCTTTGATCTGTTCCTTTTTTTTTTTTTTTTTTTGAGGGAAAACCTTGGCTATCTACTAAAGAGGGTGATACGGGCAGCCCCCACTAGTAGTAGCCTCCAGCTGCTACATCTATCAGTGGGAAGCTGCACCTGCTGGAAAACAGGTCCAGCGTCCCTTATACATTCAGAACGAACTCGTTATCCAGATCATTGTGTTGTGCCGCCTAATTGCCCCAAGCTCTTTGGGGTGTTAGTTGTGAGCTAAATCTGCCTCGTCAGCCCTTTTTGGGGGGGCCTCCTGTTTCTATCTGTAATCACTAGCAGTCCAGCTACTCTTCCTGGACATTCTTCAGACTGTCAACCCTCAGGCCTTCCATCCATTCTGCACTTACTGCCGTCCTCCCTCGCTGTCAGTCAGTCTTGCTTTGGGGGCGTCAGACTCTCGGCTTCTATTCCTTGTCTCTTTTTTCATCTCTCTCCGCCACACCATGCTATTCCTAGCAGCCTGTTAGGCGGAGGGGAAAGAATTCCGGAAATGCATCACTCGGTCGCATTGGGATTGAGTCGTCCAGCCTGGTCCAGTCGTGGAAGAGGACTTAGAGGAGTCTGTAGTCCCTGGTTATCCCTTTGTTGTCCTGCATGCTCCCTTGTCCCCATTTTTTCCTTTTCGATTCCACCTTTCCTATCCTCCCCCCTGTTTCCCCCCCAAGCCAGCTTTTGCAGAATTCTTGTATCCGTTGCTTTATTTCATTCAGTGTGTGTACGTGGCTGATTTGTGATGTGACTTCCTCCCATCGTGTTGTTATGTTTGTATCATGGCAACCGGCCGGATGTCTGGACAGGAATCCAGATGGTCCGGTTGTCTGGGTATGGGTCCGGTGTCTGGTCTGGTAGGTCTGGATTGGGCCCTATTTTGAATTTTTTTTTTTTTTTTTTTGGGGGGGGGGTGGGACGTTTTTCAGGTCCTAGGCCGCCCCCAAAAAATGTCCCCGGTATTTGGACGCTGCCAGACGCTTCCAACAGCTCCCTCTGCTGTTGTACTACGCTGGTAGTTCATCGGTTGAGGATGAGTTCGATTCCAAAAATGAAGCGCTGGCTGCAAAGCGCCACAGAACATCAAAAGAGAGAGAGAGAGAGAGAGAGAGAGAGAGAGAGAGAGAGAGAGAGATGGATGATTTTGGTCAGATCTGAGATCCCGTCCTAGATCTGGTCCTGACCAGATCTCAGATCTGTTACGTCCCCGAGGAGTGTCTAAAAACGCCCTAGTAAGTGGAGCGGTGTCCCACTACCCCAAGGAGTGTCTAAAGACGCCCTAGTAAGTGGAGCCGTGTCCCACTGTCCGAAATCGTACAGCAGATAGTAGTGGAACGAGACCCATACACACGAGATCTGGGTTCTTGTTGAGTGGGGGTGTTATTAGTCAGTTCGACTATTCTATATCTGGCGTTATCCTGACAGTGCAATTTGACTCCGAAGGGCGGCTAGCCCGACGTCCCACTGCAGATCTGATTCAGTCCCTGTTCAGCTATACGGCCAGGTACTTTCTGACTGTTGTGACACTGAGCGGGGTAGTGTGGCGCCGCAGCCCTCAGGTTGACATCACCATCGGCACTGCATTGCCTGCCACCATATCTACGCATATGATACTCCTAAGGACATACTCCACTAGTGGTCTTTTCTACTGATTTCTGGACGTGATTGTTGTCTTATTCATTCACGTCTGGCCGTGATACGGCCAGCTATACATATACGATAGTTGTGCTATTAGTGTGAGTAACCTGTATATATACTCACTTGGCTATACTGAGAAAGAAGCCGATACTAAATTCTTACACGCCATTTGGCAGCAAGTGCGCACTTACGTGCCATTTGGCAACGACGGCCGGCATTGCGTGCTATTCTTTGGCATCGACGGCCGGCATTGCGCGCCATTCTTTGACTACAACCGCCGGCATTGCGCGCCATTCTTCGGCTACAACCGCCGGCATTGCGCGCCATACTTCGGATACGACGGCCGACATTGCGCGCCATTCTTTGGCACCAACGGCCGACATTGCGCGCCGTTCCTCGGCAACGACAGCCGGCATTGCGCGCCATTATTTGGCCACGACCGCCGGCATTGCGCGCCATTTGGTAACGAGGGCATTGCGCGCCATTATTTGGCAACGGCGGTCGGCATCGCTCGCCATTCTTTGTCTTTGACAACAACAACAACAACAGCCAGCAATATGGGCGGGCAGGACCGATCTGCATGCGCTGACAAGGATGCCAAGTCAGCAATCAATGTGGCCACGTCAGGTTTGTTTCATCCTTTAGTGAATGGCGCTCGAAAGGCGGCTCGGCTAAGAGAACTGTTGACGTCAGTGCCGGGTCTTCATCAGGCCCCCTGTTGTCACGACGCAATCAGCGCGAGAATGGTGGAGATGGCCGGATTTGAACTCTCGCTGATGAGCGGCTTCTGCGTTTCTGCCTCTCGGATTGGCATGCCCGATTGCGGGGTGATTTCTTACGGGGAGAACGTGGAACAGGCCTCCCTGATTGCCTCGGCGGTGTCGATCCCGATCATTGGGGATGCCGATACCGGCTTCGGCAATCCCGTGAATGTGAAGAGGACTGTTCGAGGGTACATGCAGGCGGGCGTTGCTGGGATCCTGATTGAAGATCAAGTCATGCCCAAGGCCTGCGGACATACCAAGGGGAAAGGAGTTGTATCCAGGGAGGAGGCCGTGATGAGAATACGAGCGGCCGTGGATGCACGGGATGAATGTGATGGGGATATTGTTATCGTTGCCAGGTCAGACGCAAGGCAGGCTGTGTCATTCGAAGAGGCGTTGTGGAGAGTTCAGGCTTTTGCCGACGCGGGAGCGGACGTGGTTTTCATCGACGCCCTTGCCTCTGTGGAGGAGATGAAGAGCTTCTGTAGAGACGTGTGTCCTGGGACTCCGAAAATGGCAAACATGTTGGAAGGTGGGGGGAAAACGCCCATCCTGAACCCCAAAGAACTGGAGGAGGTGGGGTTCAAGGCAGTGGTTTATCCATTGTCCCTGCTGGCGGTTTCTGTGCGGGCCATGCAAAATGCGCTGCAGACACTGAAGAAGGGAGAAATGCCGCCCCCGTCAGTTCTCCCGTCCTTCGAAGAATTCAAGGACATTGTTGGCTTCAACAAATACTATGCAGAAGAGGAGCGCTATCGAATTAAGTGAGCGCGTGCTTGGCATTCTCGGCGTCCTAACGGTTGTGATAGAGTGATCAGTCAGCAAGAGCTTGATCTGTTGCGGACCCGTTTTCCAGCAAGTCCTCCTCCCCACCAATATAGATCGGTGCTTTAAACAAAAAAAGTAAAAAAAGTTTTGACTGGCGGGAAGCAAAGCGGCAAGAGAGAGAGAGAGAGAGAGAGAGAGAGAGAGAGAGAGAGAGAGAGAGAGAGAGAGAGAGAGAGAGAGAG